GGGGGGGGGGGGGGGGGGGGGGTAGGAGAAGTTCTTAATAGTTAATAGATAAAACCTTCAAAAGAAATGGGAATACAATTCCCATTTACATGGCAGCGGCGGTGGCTTCTAACTTGCCGTTGAGACACCATCGAAGCGGATGTATTGTGCTGTTTGTTTCACTGTTATTTGTGATTTGGCTGTCCCAAAAGCTTCCCTTTGCTTTGAGCTCGCTTGTATGTCCAAACGCTATTGCGAAAATATGATTTTCTTGCAATAGCTCTTGTTCACACCAATGTTATGCGTTTAGTTGCAGGGAAAACTTGTTGAAATGAAACAAATGAATAACTTCCGTGTGTATATACCATCAGTTAACAGCCATGTTGATTTTTTTTCCCAGTAGACAGTTTTTTTGCAAAGTTTTGCAGTGAAAATGCACCGAACTGTGCGTATGCATTCGTGGGAAAATTTCCTCGAAACATGCTAATGTTTTGGAATTCTGGCATTTTTTCGAAATCCCAACATGTCGGCGTGTTTTGGTGAAATTTGAGCTTTTTTTGCATATTGATGCAAATACAATAAATAGCAACGCGCACCAGACTAGCCGGCGCGATCATTCGTTTTGTGCAATTCAGCCCATCGAACGATTGCTTATCAATTATTTTCACTGCTTTGTACTTTTGGCTGTGCAAAAATAATTCAAACATTGGAAAATAGTTAAAAATTTCAGGCACCTGCGCATGAAACCTGAATTCGAAACCTTGGAGGGTGAATATCTTTCCGTGATTCCCGAGTTAATAGTTTAACCGCCAAAATTCTCACGAGGCCGTAGGTGGTACTCAACAGCGAGGGGACGCTGAATTTAAATAAACAAGGTTGAGCGTGGGCAGGGGTTAATACCCTAAAATTTCATCTTCCTAGACCCCGTGGTTCCCGAGGTAATAATTTACCCGTGAAAACTTTCACTAGCCCGTAGGTGATACCCGGAAGCGCGAGAACGCTGAATTGAAATGGACAAGGTTAAGCTTGGGCAGGGGGTCATTACCCTAAAATTCCGGCCTCCGTGGTTCCTGAGATATTAATTTACCCGTAAAAAACTTTCACGGGGCCGTATATATTACCCGTGGGTATGGGAAGGCTAAATTTAAATTTGCCGCGTCACTCGTTGGCGGCGAACACTACACCAAAATTGCAGCCGCCTAGCTCTTGTGGTCCCCGAGTTGAAGGTGCGGGACAAAATGTGGGACGCACACACACACAGACAACCCCGTGACAGTATGCGTTTTGTAACGTTGTTTTGCACAATACGCATAAAAACGCACATTGGCAGTTTATGTGTGTGTTTGTGTATGTATTTATGTGTGTGTGTATGTATATATTTGTCGCATTTTGTCACTTATTATGCACTTTTGCTTATATGCAAATGTAAAAACGCATATT